TTTTTTTTCAATCTGCGCTCATTTATTCCTGCTCATGTATTATTTTTTTCTTATTACATTATATCCTTATTTTCATAAAATATTCATTTGCTGTCTGAAATACCCCAGCATTATATAGCCTTGGTATGAGCTATCCTAATACAATGACTACTTGGTCTTTCAGGCTAGAGAGTCACTGAAATGATGCTAGTTTACTTTTCACCTTGTTGTGCTCACCAGCCTGTTTCTTTTCTAGTGAAAATGTCTGGCTAAAGTATTTCACAGTAGAAGTAAGATTTCATCTTGACATAAATCTTTAAGGGTATAAGCAGAGTGTTGGTCTCCAGCAGGTGGTTCTTCTGTGAACCACTGTGAGAACTTGGACAAGCTTCTCAATGTTCCTCTAGTCTACCACTAGGTAGGTAAAGCTTATATCTAGTCTATAATGAACTAGGCTTATTACAAGCCCTGTTTCTGTGGATTAAGCATGCTAGCTTTAAGGAGGATGAAAGTTAAATGTAATGTCCTGTGATAAGATCTTTGCTTGGAATTGTTCCTGTTTTCCATCAGCAATTCTAGTGTTGATGTAATATTTGTTTGTAGTTTGTTTTCTGGTTTGTTTGGGGTTTTTTCTCCTCTGTGGCCTGACCTGGATTGCTTCTTTCTTTTTGCTCTTCTTCATCTTTTGTTTGAACCCTTTCTGGTTTGTTTTGTTTACAGCAGTTCTCTATCTACTGTAGGGTCAGTTCCCTCTCCCTTCAGTTTTTAATCTTGCTGTCAATTTTATTTCTTCAGATTCATTCAGATTGACAGGGCCACATCACAGTCTTAACAGTATGGTGGTATTATTCTGTATTTTCTTGGCAGTACTTGGAGATGTTGGGAAGTGTCAGTAGTAAGCCCAGTGAGCAAAGAGATGCGATGTGTAAACTTCCTTGCTGGTGCAGATGGGTATAATTCTTCTGAAATCGATGAGATGGTGTTGATTGACACCCTGGCTGAAGGTACCTTATATAGCTGCGCTTCTGTAAAATGCTGTGGAGAAGGTGGGTGGATAAACTGAGGAGTTAAGAGACTTAGCAAGGAGTCGGTCTGTAGGAGCTCAGCTTTTATGCAGGGCTTCAAAGCATATCTCATCCAATTCAGCCTTCCAGACAGAAAACTCCCCTTTCTTGGAGAATATGAAGTATTGGCTAGATTCAGAGTTTGACTTAGATGAGTTCTTATTCAGAAGTGCTGCTTCAGATCTTTAAAAAGAGTGTGTAGCAGAAGTCTGTAGGTTTTGCAATTGGCTGCAGTAATTTATAGTCTTAAGATTAAACTGTGCTTCATTTCTTAAAATGAGTAATGTGCTTCAGGATGAATGCTGTTGTGTCATCTGTGGATGATAAGGGATGTTGTGAAACAGATCCATTGTAGTTTCTCTCCAATTGCTTATGATTTCACAAAACCCAAGAATCTCATCAGTGAAATTTTAGCTTTTATTGTGCTGCATTGCAATGTCACATGTCAGTTAAGTTTGATGTCCAAACATATAACATATCCAGAAGAAAAACTAGGGGGTGCAGGAATTTAATTGGACAGTACTATATTCTTTTTACCTGTAGAAAAAAAATCTTACTGCTGGTAGAGCACCAGACAGAACGTTTTTACCTGGATGTGAAACTTGTTGCTTATGCAGAGAGAGGCCTCATTTGCTTCCCCTTCCCAAGGGTTCATAGTGAAGTCGTTTAGTTTGGAGTCTTTATGATATAAAATACACTTCATCACCTAAGGACTGCTGTCATAGGGAACTTTTAGTGTAGTCTGTTAACAGCAGAAGCAAACAGAAAATCCAGTAAATGGACGAAAGCTTTTATTTTGTATGCTTAAGCTGGATCCAGTGCTGCATCCAGTGCAGCGTGGGATTTTTTTTTATTATCCTAAATTAGGTTCAAGTTTATTTGCTGCCCATTGATGCATCAGAGATGTATGTTCTAGTACTCAGGACTCAGGATTAATAAGATTTAATACAGCTTTCTCATCATTATTTTTCATATGTAATGGAGATTGAAGTTTTATGTAAAATGCTTTTGGAGTAGCAAATGATAACGCACTGAAGCTTGTGGATGATTGGATTGTTGTTTCCATCGTAAATAATAAAATTTCTAAAGCTCTAGAAGGAATGAAAGAAGTGGCATGACTGATTTGGTTTCTTTTTGCATATGTTTCTGATAATAAAAGGTGATGAGCACCTGTAAC